ATTTTCAGAGAAATGTTTAGATTAAAAGATATCACGATTTTCCGACGCCAGGACGTGATATCTTTCAAAATCGATAAAAAGCGAAATTACTCTGAAATGGTTGAGAATCGGACCATGGACAATATGAACTTTTTTGTTCATTTTAGGGTGAAGAATCTACTGGAGAAGTTTGTAGCACGAGTAGCAATTCACCCTGTATATATGTATATATTGAGATCATCTTCAGGGCCTGAGATTTACAAACATTGTTCAAATTTAACAAATACATGTAGGATGTGGAAAAAAGTGAATTTATACAATGCAAAAAAATATATATTTTACATTCAATCAAAGTATTTCTACTCACTCAAAGTGTTTGTTTTTTGCGTAAGTGTGCCATTCTTGCGTGTCGTGTTGAGAGTGACAGTGAGATATTGCTGCTAATCACCACACAATATAGACATATTTAATGTCGGTTTAAGTTAATTTAAGGAAATTCTATCATTAAAAAAATAGTTATTGTATCATTAATATATTTAATTAACTCTGATTTTGATCATAATTAATAATTGATAATTAGATAGTTTTAATACCTATTCCAAATAATTTCAATTTATTTAAATTTTAAAAAATTATTATAAATATTTCTAAATTTATGTACAGTTTATAGCCTTTATACTTTCATTGAGTGCATTTTTAATTGGGAAACAATAAAATAAATAATTAAATAAAACGTGTTTTTTTTAGTGACCTATTGTTTAATAATTTATAATAATATTTTATAATAACGGTGACTCCCACCCTGTTAAAATTATATAAAAACAGTAGAATATAAATTCACGTTTTACAACAATCCAGCACAACACCAATATGACACCACAAGAATAGTAAAACACTTTATGTGAAGATGAAATCAAAGTTTATATTTACATCTGTATTGCATTTTTTCCAATCAACGTATCTTTTGTAATTCACCCAGGCCCTGAAGATGACCCGAATAAAAGTCGAAACGTCGGCAAAAAATGAAAAAAGTGTTTTTCTAAACTACTCATTCTCGATCGTTCTCGTTTTTTACTGTCCTACTCGCAAGGCATTATATTATACAGATGGAAGTTAATATTTAAAAAAATGGATTCATAAGTTCTAGTGCTTTTCTAGTGTTACTGTTTTGCGCTGATGCGAATTCAATCTATCTGTATTTAAATTTAGATTGAATTATAATTTTGGAGTCTACTTTTTGCTTCCCAGCTGGTGGATGTTAATAGGCGGAAGAGGTTTAGTGATGATTGACAAAATTGCTTTAGAGTTTCTAGTTTTGGTGTTTATCCAAGGTCAAACCTAGGTAGTGACCAGAGTCGACGCAATTTTCAGGTTAGGGAGATAAGAGGGTTGTCCTATAGAGAAAAGTATAGTGATCGTTTATCATCTCCAGAGTCTTTGAAATGGTTATTAGAGATACTGGAAGAAATTGAGAAGAGATTAGATTGAATTTTTTAAATTTTATATCTTTATACTAACAGATCTTGTATGGGCGGAAGTATCGATCTAAGGACTTGATTGATGCACATAAAGAAAAGCGTAGCACTAAGCACATATCCTTCTGGTAAACCGTTTGCTTGAGAGAAATCATCAGACGAACCTACCGCAATGAATCTGGAACCTGGTCCAGAAAGTTGACACTACAGTTCAAAAGTCCAACCGAAATTGGTTAAATAGACAGTCAAAGGCGTTATCAATATCAAGAAAAACAGCAAGGGGATTTTTCTTTGTTGTGAAAGATGCATAGGTCTAAAAATACAAGATTGTCAAATGTGCTTCAATTTGTCGAAATACATTCGATCCAAGTTTGGTGATTTATTAAGTCGAAAAATATTAGACACGTGGGCGAGCGTTTAACATGCAATTCATAAATATTTTATACAACAAATGGCCTGAAATTTGATAAAACAATGATCAGGTGTTGTTTAAATTATTAGAATTTTTAAAAAACACATAGCTATCTCGGTTTTTTAGAGAAGACTTCTGAAGTTTGGATCGCACCCCAATGTAATTATAATAAGTAAAGTTACCTCTGTGACAACATTTACATCCATGATAACATATTTTCAGAAAATAGAGATAAATTGGAAACATGTTATGGTTAAAGTACACTGAAAGAAAAAACTTGAAAAAATAAAATTGGAATCATTGTATTGATGTATAAATACAATTTGCGAAACAATAGAAAGCATGGAGGTCCAGTGCGAAAGGAAATATCAACTGGCCTATCTTCTTTTTTCAATGCTCGTCCACACTCTTGGTTTATTTAACTTTTCTGCGGTCATATCTTTACGCATGTATTATGATATGGCGAATTGCAAACAGGATTACTTTATGAAATTCGGCTACTCTTTCAAATACGGATCCTTACTTAATGCTACATGTCAATTGATTTATAACCTGATCGCTTTAATGGTTGATTTAATGACATTTTCCTCTTACACTCAGGATGCTCCTCCTCGATGGTTGACGGTGAGATCTTTCATTAGATCGACGATTGCTCTGCCGTTCGGATTTTATACCTGTGCGAGATTCTGGCTATTTACTTGGTTGAAATTAAAGATAATGGGGGTCGATTGTTATCCCAATTGGTTCAGACATTTCCTGTTCACGGTGAACCCGTTTCTGTTAATATGCGATGTTTTCTGCTGCAAGGGCGATGCTCCAGGATCGATAGTCGCGCTTGTCGTGATAAATATTTTGTGTTCGATGTATTTCGTATGGCTGCATGTTATTTATCAATTCACAGGCGTTTGGGCTGTTGCTTTCATAAAAGATTTCACATTCCCGGGAAAGTTGGTTGGATACATATTTATCGCATTGACGGTCTACATAAATTTTCTCATTGGAAAGCTTTTAAATAACATTTTGTGGAATGAAGAGTACGTCTCCCATATCCCGTGTTTAAGTGATTATGTCTCCGCGCCTCCTCGTTTCGTGTACGGGTATCCTTCTAAAGATTCTGCCACGTTCGGAAAATATTTGAGTGGCACAGCGAGCATGTTTATCGACCGACCGAACAAAAAGAAAACTCCTAAATAATGGTAAATGTAAACCTAGTTACCACATGTCTTATTGTTTTTCGAAAGGAAAATCCCTGTTTCCGTGGAGGTGACATATGTTGCCATCTTCATATGGCGAAGGCGTTCGTGTTATAAATAGGGTGACTATACTTGCTGCTTTGATTGAAGAAAGAATAAAATAATGAAGTTAAATAGTAGAACTCGAAGGACGAGAAGAAAAAATAAACAATTTAAATAATATTCTTGTAGTTTGTGTATTGGGTTGTAAATACGATAAGTCCTTAGATTTCATGTTATTTTTATTGTGTTTTGAAGCGATATTTACTGAGTGATTATTTTTTTCTTACCCTGTAATAGTTTCGTTCGATATCTCCTACTTTTACAACATATTTTGCTAATTTTGAATTAAATCATCCTTCAATTGTTCTTTTATTACCGAAAATAGAAAACCGCAGCTCAGAATGCTAGGGAAATTTGTTATGTGAATGGTGATGACGCTTTAGAAGAAAGCATTGTCTTGCTTTTTCCTGCCTCCGTTGCTCAGTGTAAACAGAAAAGACAGTGCCGAGTTAACCAAGTTGCCTGTCAAGTACTCATTCGGTGTAAACTAGGGATAAAGAGCGAGGGAATGGAGATTATGATACTTGTGAGACAAAAGCAAGTGCCTGTGAATTTTTAGTACCTAAGAGTAAAAAATAATTGTAAAAATTATAAACTACTTGGAGATCGTGAGATGCGGTCTGGTGTGACGTAGGTTTTAGAAAACATTTTCTTTATCGTGCCAACGTTTCGATCTTTTTGAGATCATCTTCAGAGGTCAAAGTGTTTGTTTTCCGTGTAGATGTCATTCTTGTGTGTCGAGTTGAGAGTGCCCACACACAAACAAGAATGACACATCTCAACACAACACACAAGAATGACATCTACACGGCAAACAAACACTTTGAGCCCTGAAGATGATCTCAAAAAGATCGAAACGTTGGCACGATAAAGAAAATGTTTTTCTAAAACCTACGTCACACCAGACCGCATCTCACGATTTCCAAATAATCATTAATTAACGGTCACTAAACATCACACATTATTGTGTAGTATTTAGTAACCGTTAATTAATGATTATTTTTTGATCATGAGTTGCGGTCCACAAAAAAAATGGAAAAAGTATATGTTTTTACCGGTTTTCAGTTTTTGCCTACAGGTTGACGGACGATTTGCGAGTTGGGGAAAGGATGTATTCAAAAAATTCAACTAGATCTAAGCTACTCAAAATTTTTACCCAATATGTAAAAATACTTTTTGAAACTAATGAAATGTTAAAATACACAAAAAATCGAAAAATGTGTGCACGCTTTGACGAGCCACTGTCGGTGAGGCACATTTTGGTAGACTGTCCCATTTGTGAAACTCTTAGAGATTTGCATAGATTAGCCAATTATATGACAAACCTCTTTGATGATCGATCCAGGTATCTCGATGAATTTACGAATTGTTTCAGTTCCTTAAAGCCTACAATCTACACCCGAAAACTTAACACAGATGAAACCAATGTATGATACACCAAATAAAATAACCTCAATACAAAAGTAGTCTTGTTCATATCTGATTTATCATGCATCATTAATTTGCCTTTGAATTAAATGTAGTTTACACACAAAAATTAACTATCAGATCCCACAAAAAAATATTTTTAAATGTGAAAGCGAATTTCAAAAAGTGAGGAATGTGATTTATTACATAAATCTAAGGGCAATCACTGCATAAATAATTCAGAGAATTCTATGTAATTTTTTAAACCTTCAATGACAATGAATTTTTTGTCAGCCTATAAAATGTAAATTTTTAATAGCATTGATATATCAGCAAAGCCTGCAAAACATAAAATATCGTAAATCAGGTGTGTATTATTAAAAAAAAAAAAATTATGAACCAGATTTGAATCTACCTATAGAATATTAGACTCATCCAGCAGAAGTTGATAATCATCTTGTAAAAGAAATCAAAATGCCAGATTTAGATATACACACGGACGGGAGGAAAATGGAAGAACACGTAGGATGTGCAACCATTTTATACAAAGGAGTAGCTGTGAAAATCCTGCAAAGCAAATTAAAGACCTAGTGTTCAAGCAACCAAGCCGAGCTTGTGGCCATACAAAATGTACTTCAGTGGTTGATAGAACAGACAAGTTGGAATTTTACATCAATTAGGGTGACAGCCATGTTTCTCTGTTAAAGATTCCAAACTACAAAAGAACACACCAACAATCGAGATGATTAGAACATATCTGAGAACCCTAACACAGAAGAAAAACTGCATGGTAACAAACACTTCAGTGGGTTAAGGAACATGCTGGATTGCCAGGTAATGAACAAGTAAATCACCTAGTGAAAAGCACCGATGAAGCAAGACCTACCATGGGGCCGCGGTAGCCGAGTGGTTAAGGCGTCAGACTCTCGGCTATTAGATCCTGCGGTCGTGGGTTCGATCCCCACCGTCGCCTCTGGACTTTTATCTGACGCCTAAGGGGACCGGTGGCCGCAATTGAAAGAAATTGACACGGCACTCATCAATGGAAGGGGCGGGATCGGATCTCAGCGANAGTGCCACGAGGGGATTCGAATCCACGACATTCGACTAAATACGCAGCTGCTCTAACCACTTGAGCTATCGTGACTCGATAGTTCGATCCACTCGGACACCAAACTCCCCATCTCAACCTACAACCTATCGAATTTTTTCTCTTTTTTCCATTTTTTGGCGTCCGAGAGGATCGAAGTCACGATAGCTCAAGTGGTAGAGCACCGGCGTATTTATCCGAAGGTCATGGATTCAAATCCCGCTCGTGGCATAGCTTTTTCATTTCAACCAAAACCTTATAAAAAATATTAATTAATTGAAAGAAGTAATTTGGTCAATAAAACAGTAAATATAATGAATAAATAAGACGTTTCATCCATCTTTAAATAGTTCCTCCAATCAGCGGGATCAAGGGAAAGATCTTTCATCAAATAGATGTGGGTATTACGGCTTCTGTTCAGAAGCCACTTCTTACACCATTTCCTTTTCGATTTTTTGCTTTTAATATATAAACAAACTGCAGCGTAGCACAAGAGATCGTCACCATTTTGAGAAGGTAATTCACTAGATGACGTTCGGATCGACTGGCTGTGGAGCGGTCGTAAATGCCCCCTCAAATTTCAGGCACTCCAAATGGAGTTAAACGGCTTGGCGCGGTTCCATTTGGAGCGATCGTGAATGGCCACCTTAACCTACCAAAAAAATCTTTTGAGACCACAAGAGTAGAACAGTGGGAAACAGTGTGGTCTGCAACAACCGATGGCACCATCACAAAAAGATTTCTCCCTAATATAAGAGGTAGGATGAAAATCAAAATCATCTATAATAATAACTTAACTTATAACTATGGCTTGGTTAGGCGTTTACGATGACCCAGACTGCCCCTGCGGAGGTGGCGAACAAACATGGCAACACATCATTTACCAAAGCAAAACTTTTGATGAGATCATGCTACATTTAGGAACATGGAATAGAAGAAAGACTTTTTCAGTAAATTTTACAAATGCATCGCTTCCTTTATTGACAGTTTGGATCTATCTAAATTGTGAATAACTTTTTAAATTACTGTACAAATTTAATTCTGTACATCCAACACTGTAATCAATTTGAGTAATATCTGGACATATATGGGGGGGAGGATACAGTCCTGGCACACAAGCTTGCGCATGGATACCATATGAGCCAAAGACCCCACCAACTTGTACATCATGTGGTCATGACATCAATGAAGCATTTCTGCACTGAATACAGAAAATATAAACGACTCAAAAATAAATGCCCAATTTCTAACAGCATTATAATAGATTTTCCTGGTTTATAATTTAATTTTACATTGATCTATTCATGAAGCATTAATCTCTATTTTTTTTTAGCAATCGCACCTGGTTTGTGGAGTGTCGCAATCTAAAGATCGCTATTCAATTCAGAATTTTTGTCATGGCATAAAATGTGTTATAGATGGAAATGATGAAATATACAAGTGTGAAACATATTAGACTTTAAACTTACTTTACAACTTACTTTATTACAAAAAATGACCCCCCCTCATTGTGCTCTTATTGAAGAGATACGACAAACTGGAGCTCCTAATGTATTATTTTTGGAAAACTAACTAAAATTATTAAAATATGTATTTCATTATTGTATGCAGATAGTATTAAACCAACAGGATTATATTGGCTGATGGGGCAATAATAAAATATTAAAACTAACATGCTCACTTACCTGACTACCAGCAGAGAGAGTTGATTTACCATTTGTAAATCTCTCCTGGGAAAATAAAAAAATAAGTTAACATCAGGGAATAGTTAAACAAGGTACATATACAAAGTAGATTTAATATAAATGACATTTACCCTCTGAAGGCAACAATCATTGCCTTAAAACCGCAATCATGAAGAAGCTAACTCTGCACACTGTCCAACACTCGCGGAACAACATAATACACTGTTTAAATAACACTTTTTGAAAATGTAGAAAAAAAGATATAAAAACGGCACAACAACACCTAGAAAAGAAAAACACAAGAAATGTATAAAATTTTCAATAACTTACACAGACAAATTTTCTATCAGATCACAGAAAAAATTGTATTAAATAGTAATAAAGTTAACTATTTACTGGTACTACAAATTTTTATTTCTTAACTTAATTTTTAAATGGATATTCAACAGAAGTGTTAATATTTTTTAAAATCTTGTAATTCAACCACAAATGATCAGGTAAGAGTAGAAAAAGGGCCAAATATCCTTCGTCCAACACAGAATTACTATTGCTTCTTGAATAGGACCCAAAGGATACTCATCATTCAATAACATCAAGAATTTATTGGACAATGCAAATCAGTAAATATTGTCAAGTTAGAATAGTCTGTCATTTTATAAATTCTGTCCCACCTTTTTTTTAACATGTATAAAATATCTTCAGTTAATGACTAGTGCTTTGATTCTTTTATCATTTGTCAACATATCCTCCATGTTTATAAATCAACAGTCTGTAATTATTTCTTTCCATTTTTTCCTATGAAAAGTTTGATAAAACAATAGGCAGTGTCACATTCATCAGTTTTTCTATGCCAGGAATTCTCTGGGTGAAAATTTATGTTCACTGAAGAGAACTGTCAAAATTTTGTTTATCGAACTAGTTAAAAGATAAACTATGGGCCTAGACGTTTCATGCCAGACTTAACAGAGAATCTGTCAACCATGCTTGGCCTATTCTTAGTTATGTGAGTACAACGCCTTTTCATGTATTCAGATTAGGGTTATCTAGACATATCAAGGGCTATTTGACAACTGAGCTCTTGATACGTTTGAGCTTCTATGTCGTTCTAGCCCACCAACTTCAATTAAATAATGTTTTTAAACACAGTGACTGAGGGCCGGATCATGATGGTCAGTTCTGAAAATTGGGATGTCCCTGCCTTAGCCAGTGAGTAAACCCAGCAATAATAAATTAGAACATCCATAAACACTTATTTTATTCTTTAATCAATATATGGTTAGCAGTCATAATTGACCGTTATGACCAATGATCTTGGCTTAATATGCCACTGCTCCAACCACTTGAGCTATCGTCACTTTGTGAGTCGATAGCCCAAGTGGTTAGGGAAGCGGCGTTTTGAAACAAATATCATGGGTTAGAATCCCTCTCATAACACTAACTTTTTCATCTCAATCAAGACCTTAGACAAAAAGTATAATTAATTGAAATAATTTTATTGATAATAAAAATGTCTTTTTCCTCTTGAAAAAATATTTGATTTGGTGGTAATCCAGAATGAACTTTTACCAGTCACCTGGCAATCCAAAGAGGTTGAACCAACTCCCTCTGTTGCAATAATACATCCAACAAATATGTATTTAAAACTGGCGATTGATAAATCATTTCATTAACGATTTTCTTCGCTTTCAACGAAAATTATAATATTTCAAAATAAAACCTCATGGTGAAAAAGCCGAGTCTCGACCGCTAGTCGCAGCCTGAATCGTCCATGAGAATGGCGAGGCTTGGGCGGTGTTTCAAGGACCCTTCCATGTAAATAAAAAATAATCCAACAAATTTCTTTGTATAAATAAAAATAAGACATTTTTTGAGGGTTTAAATGAAATTTTAACTAATTAACTGTTTGAGCCAACTCGAAGAGCCAGTAGCCAAAGCTTTTGATCCATAACCCAAAATAAATCAATATCCGAATTATACATAATTGAAAACTTATCAATTGACTATTTGCAATGGAATTCATTAAAAAACAGACCCGGACTTGTATAAACTTAATAAATGTCAAAAATTAAAAATACCTTTTTTGGAGGACGAAATGCGATGCTGAATCGGTGGCCGCCAGGAGAAAAAAAGAGCGAATGGCGGGAATATCACTATCACTTCCCAGTCCACCACCTATAGATAATTAATCATACAATTTTCTCACAAATTAATTTAAAAATTGGAAAATGTTTAAAAATAATATTAACCGAATATTTAAAGCGAGTTTTTTTAATTCCAATCGACGTTTTTAAAAATTTAATCATAATTTTCGACGTTCAGGAATATATAGTTAAGCTGGCAGTGATCTGATAGGCCGACGATTCTCGGTTTAGAATTACAATGCTTATTTCAACTTAAAAATAAATAATTAATTATCAAATATTCGGTAATTTTTTGTGCCAATATATTTAGAAAGTATTTTGAGTAACATTATATTTTTTGTTTACACGGAAGGGTTCTTGAAACACCGGCCAAGTCCCGCCATTCCCATGGACGATTCAGTCTGCGATTAGCGGTCGAGACTTCGGCGTTTTCACGGTGAGCTTTTATTTCGAAATATTATAATTTTAGATTAACAAAAGCTGCTTTTTCGTTGAAATCGAAGAAAAATCGTTAATGAAATAATTCATCAATCGCCGATTTTAAATATTGATTTGTTGGATGTCTTATTGTAACAGAGGGAGTTGGTCCAACCCCTTTGGTTCGCCTGGTGACTGGTAAAAGTTCATTCTGGATTACCAACAAATCAAATATTTTTTCAAGAGGAAAAAGACATTTTTATTATTATCAATAAAATTATTTCAATTAATTATACTTTTTGTATACTTTTTTTGGGATTCTAACCCACAACCATTGATTCAATACGCCGCATCCCTAACCACTTAGGCTATCGACTCATGAAGTGACGATAGCTCAAGTGGTTGGAGCAGTGGCATATTAAGCCAAGATCATTGGTCATAACGGTCAATTATGACTGCTAAACATATATTGATTAAAAAATAAAATTAGTATTTATGGAAGTTCCAATTTATTTATTGATTTATTACTGCTGGGTTTACTCACCGGCTAAGGCAGGGACATCCCAATTTTCAGAACTGACCATCACAATCCGACCCTCAGTCGCTGGGTTTAAAAACATTATTAAATGGAAATTGTTGGGCTAGAATGGCACAGTAGCTCAAACGTATTAAGAGCTCAGTTGTCAGATAGCCCTTGATACGTATAGATAGGTGAAGAGGAGTCGTACTCAAATACTAAGAATAGGCAAGCAGGGTTGACAGATTCTCTGCTAAGTCCGGCTTGAAAAAGCCTCTCCAATTATGCTATAGTTTATCTTTTAACTAGTTAGATTAAAAAAATTTGATGGTTCTCTTGAGTGAACATAAATTTTCACCCGGATTATTTCTGGCATAGAAAAACTGATGAGTGTGACACTTTGCCTATTGTTTTATCAACCTTTTCATAGGAAAAAATGGAAAGAAATGATTACAGAATGTTGGTTTATAAACATGGAGGATATGTTGACAAATGAGAAAAGAATCAGACCCCTAGTCATTAACTGAAGACTGCTGGGTATATACATGTTCAAAAAAGGTGGGACAGAATTTATAACATGACAGACTATTCTAAGTTGACAATATTTACTGATTTACATTGTCCAATAAATTCATGATGTTATTGAATAATGGGCATCCTTTGGGTATCTGAAATTCAAGAAGCAACAGTAATTCTGTGTTGGATGAAGAATATTTGACACTTTTTCTGCACAAACCTGATCATTTGTGGTTGAATTACAAGATTTTAAAAAAAAACTAACACTTCTGTTGAATATCCATTTAAAAATTAAGTTAAGAAATAAAAATTTGTAGTACCAGTAAATGGTCTGTGTAAGCTATATTTCACTTATTGAAGGATTTATACATTTCTTGTGTTTTTCTTTTCTAGGTGTTGTTGTGCCGTTTTTATATCTTTTTTTCTACATTTTCAAAAAGTGTTAATTAAACAGTGTATTATGTTGTTCCGTGAGTGTTGGACAGTGTGCAGAGTTAGCGTCTTCATGATTGCGGTTTTAAGGTGATGATTCTTGCCTTCAGTGGGTAAATGCCATTTATATTAAATCTACTTTGTATATGTACCTTGTCTAACGATTCTCTGATTTTAACTTTTTTGTTCTTTTCCCAGGAGGGATTTACAAATGGTAAATCAACTCTCTCTGCTGGTAGTCAAGTAAGTGAGCATGTTAGTTTTAATATTTTTTATTGCCCCATCAGCCAATGTAATCCTGTTGGTTTAATACTATCTACATGCAATAATGAAATACAAATTTTGATAATTTTAGTTTTCCAAAAATAAAACATTATCTATCTTACTGAACGAACTTAGAATGGTTAAGAGTTGCAAAAATATGGGTTTTCCCAGCCAGATAATTTTTTTATTTTTCATTGAACTTTAATTGATACCAAATTTAGAAAAATATTATACATTGATAGTTAAATTTTTACCAAAGAACTGGGGGAAAATCCCGATACACTAGATATATGTACACTAGAAAAATATATACTTTGGCCAAATGAGTGCAAACCATGCATTGTCTATCCTTAGTCGAGTGAGGATGACCCTTCTTCTATTAGTCAGATCCTCTGAGGGCCGCCCATTAACAGCGCTAGATACATGCGCGTTCTTTGCTGACTTGGCCCACCTTCTTTTAATCATGTTTTTAGGGATGTC